AAGCTCCGGGCTGCCACCTCCTGGCCTCTGGTGAGATACCATTCACATACAATTTACTCATTTATTTATTTTATTTTATTTTTTATTTTATTTATTTAGTTTTTTTGAGATGGAGTTTTGTTCTTGTTGCCCAGGCTGGAGTGCAGTGGCTCAATCTTGGCTCACTGTAGCCTTGGCCTCCCGGAATCAAGTGATTCTCCTGCCTCAGCTTCCTGAGCAGCAGGGATTACAGGCACCCGCCACCACACTCAGCTAAATTTTGTATTCTTAGTAGAGACAGGGATTCACCATGTTGGCCAGTGCTAGAATTACACCACTGTGCCCCAACCAATTACTCATTTAAAGTTTGCATGCAGTGTGCAACCATCACCACAACCAGCCTGATCATACAGGAGTAGGAGGAGACTAGAGAGAAGCTCGGCTAGGGGACAAAAGTGAGGCAAAGGACAGGGGACTGGCTCCTCAAGACTCACCCACAAAGTCATGCTCACTGGTGGCATCCGTGCTGTTGACAGTCATGACCCCAAAGTTGAGTTCTGGGGGTGGGAAGAAGCGGGGTTGGGCTGGAGCACAGGGAGTGACCTCCTCTCCCAGAGCCAGGTTGCCCAGGCTCCTCCCCCTGGAAAGAGGATGGGGCGGGGCAGGAGCTGGGGGGAGGGATCTTTCGCACAAACCCAGGAGGGAAGCAGGAGCCCTGAGTCTCTCAGTACCAGGCACCCCTGCCATGGGTGACTGCTGGCCTGGATGACCTCAGTGCTCGTAGGCAATGAATGAGGTTTCACCAGGAGACACAGGCCCCTGCCCTCTGGTGTCAGGTGTGTCTACAGGTCCTAGTGAGTGCTGAGGGTGACTCTACTTGGAAAATAAGGGCAGAGCATCTGACCTGCTGAGAGCAGCTGTTGGTGCACACCCAGGGGATTGCCCGCAATGGCCCCGCTGCAGGGACAGAGATTCATGGTGACCAGGGCTCCTAGCAGGCATCCCTCACACACACACACACACACACACACACACACACAGAGAGAGAGAGAGAGAGAGAGAACCAAGTCCTGATTTCCAGGGCAACCGCCTGAAGCTCAGCCCCTTCCCTGGCCCAGTTGCCGCAGGTGTGCAACACTTGTCCCCAAGTGTCCCCGGGACACTTATGTCCAAGCACTGAGTCTCCTTGGGTGCAGAACACTTGTCTCCTGACACACGTCCCCATGTGTCAGGCTGAGGGCAGTGGGCTGGGCTCACCAGGAGCCTCGCTGAAGAGCTCTGGCCCTGCTCAGACACATTCACCGGCTTGATCATCCCCATCTTAGTGAGAGCAGGGGCTCCATGCAGGGTCCCCCTCTGAGCGGATAACTCGGCTTTCTGTCCCACTCTGCCCTTCCCAGCTTGACTGTCAATCCCTAAGGCTATGCAGCAGCCACCCCCACCAGGCCCTCAGGGCACTGGANGCCCAAAATTGCCCCACTGCAGGGACAGGGATTCGTGGTGACCAGGGCTCCTCAAAGGCATATGACCCCTCCCCAACCCCACTCACACACCCCAACAGAACCAAGTTCTGGTTGCCAGGGCAACCACCTGGAGCTCAGCCCCTTCCCTGGCCCAATCAAACTGGGTGCACACTTATCCTCAAATGTCTCCAGAACACTTATCCCCAAGCACTGAGTCACCTTGGGTGTAGGGCCCTGGTCTCCTGACAAATGTCCCCATATGTCACGCTGAGGGCAGCAGGCTGGGCTGGCCAGGAGCCTCACTGGAGAGCTCTGGCCCTGCTCAGAAACATTCACTGGCTTGGACATCCCCATCTTACTGAGAGCTGGGATTCCATACAAGGTCCCCCTCTGAGCAGACAACCTGACTTTCTGTCTCATTCTGCCCTTCCCAGCTCATCTGTCAATCCCTAAGGCTATGCAGCAGCTACCCCCATCAGGCCCTCAGAGCACTGGAGCCTCACCCACCTCCCCAGGGGCAGGACACTGATCCACTTCTGCACCTCCAGCAGCTGCTCAGAGTCTCGGGTCAGTCCCATGGTGTGGCTATGGAAAGCCAAGGGTCGGAGGGTCAGGGCAGCCGGGATCTTCCCCTCCAGCATGGCCCCTGCACCTCACTCAACTCACCTCAGAATCCAGTGGCTCCAGTGGAGGGGCTTGGCCCTCTGCAGGTGGCTGTACCTTGGGAAGAGGACATCATGTTCCCTGTGGGAGAGGAGGAGCAGGGGCTCAGGTGGAGGCTGCGGCAAGGTCTGCTGGTGACACAGGAACCCTGCAGGCCTGGGTCACCCCTGAAAGAAGTGTTGTCCTGCAGCACTGCACCTGAATGAGGGATCCAGGATCTCCCAGGGAAAAACTGCTCTCAAGGGAAAAAGAGGCTGGAACTGCGGCCGTGCGAACCACACACTGGGCCTGAGCTGTGGGGCTCCTGGGGTGAGGCTTTGCCAGGAACACCCAAAGCCTCAGCCTCTGTCACTCAGCATCTCTCAGTGGTGCCAGAAAAGGGGAGGAGGCCAGTGTCAGGTATGACTTGGCCATGGGAGGTTTCGTTTGAGACCCTAGAAATAGCTGGGGCTCATAAAGGGCTCCTCCAAGCAGGTGGGACACCCTACCCCTCGTTCAAGTCACCATTTTTGTATTTTTA